GTAACAGAAGAACCGAGTCGAATGGTAATACAGGTGGCTGCAATACAGGAGACCCGCTGGAATATACTATGGCTTCTATTGCAAAAAGAGTACAACAGAAATGGTTGCTGACAAAGGCGACGCCGAAAGTTGTTCGTATCAAAAACAGGTAAATCATACATCTGGATGACAATTTTGAACAAAAATTTTTGTTGAACTGTTACTATGAGAAGAGGAGGCATCGGTAGCTTGCAAACTCTTCCTTAAAGGCGTCGGCTCTGCTTAGCGCCAAGCATATTATTTTACGACAATATATTTAGCAGCGCATAAATCATATAAAAAATTTATTGTAAATTTTGGCAACTCCGGTCTACCAATTAAAATACACCTAATCAAGTTCGATTACACGAACAGTTAAGGAGAAGTCCAAATTTCGCTCGGTTGACAGACACCCAGTTTCAATGAATTGACCTTCACATCGATTTCTGCATGCAAGTATCTCACTTAGAGTTCAGAGTAGCTCATTAGCCAAGATATGAACATTCGAAGGTGAGAGCAAGGCACAACGAAAGACGAGGCTCGTGCATATAAATGAGTTTCAAGTGCCTACCTGCAATTGTCAACACTCTTGAGCACTCCGATGAAACGGCCTGTACGTATCTCGTAACCGTTCAACTCCTGGCACGCTCGCTTCGCGTCCTTTTGATTCGTGTACATGACAAACGCGTAGCCTCGGTTGCCGCCGCAGAAGTCCATCATCAGTCGCATTTCGTAAATCTTGCCCACCTTCTCGAAGACTGGAACCAACTCGTCCTCGGCGGCGTCGCGAGGTAGCTTGCCGATGAACACCTCACACCCTTTCGGCGGAGGCGCGCCCTCCCAATCAGGAGGAGGACCGTATCGGCTAAAAACCAACATTGTTATAGGAGACCAGTGGAAGAACGAAAACGGTGAGGAGGCGACGAAGATGTGTTTACCGCTGGCCATTCTGCTGAATGAGTGGGTACTGGGTCCTGCTGATCAGCGCGTTCAGGCCAGCCTCCTTCGAAGTCGAGTGCTCCGGGTCGGACGGTTGCTGGAACGGTTCAAAGTTCAGATCGTGTATTTCGTTTTCGTCGTTTGCGTCCGAGCCGGTCGCGTTGCCGTTCGTTGGCATTTGACTTGGCGTAGCGGTACAGAATACCCTAAATCAGAACAACAAGCCTCAAGCACCGGATGGAACAGCCAAAGCGAAAGTCTGCAACAACACCGCACTAAGAAACGTCTGCCGTGCTTTGGCGTGTCGTGCAGTAAGAAAGAGATCAACAGTAGGCGGGTCGGTGTCGATGGTCGTCGGTAAGTCAACAGTATTATCGCCGTATTGATTCCCACTTCCTTGGCTCACAATGTCGTTCGGTCTTCCTCAAATCGGAAATGTGGCAGGGTCACGTTTCCGTCGCCGCTCACACCCATCTCCATGACCATTCGAAAGTCATCGTCGAATAGAAAACGTTAACCGATGTAGGGGTGGCATCGACCGTCGGTCGATTATGCTATCCTGCCATCACTTTCAACCTAGGTGCAACTCGAGTAACAACTACACTGGGTCATTAACTTGCTGATGACGTCATTACAACCGTCTGAAAGGGTGTGTTAATTCCCACGTTCTGCGCTTAGACCTTTAATAGGTGTTCGTGTATAAAATAGATTCAATATGCTGGCTTGTTACTTCTACAAGGAATAAGAAAGTATTTTGCCCACGCAGATTTCAACACAATCTGTGATTTAGAGTAAGTACCACATAACAACGAATGTTCAATTCAAATCGATTTAGTAAGGCTTCCCACAAGCGGTCAACGTCATGCATTAAAATAAACTCAATTTTTTATTATAAATTATACATTTTGAAAATCTCAGCTCGTTTTGGACCATCTCCGCTAATCTTCCGGAATCCAATTATCATTCCTTCTACTATCTATAAGTGAATTACCAAGAAGCGCTGAAAATCTGGACGATATTTGGTGGGTGATATCAGGTATCGATTGAAGCCAATCTTGTAGCTTGGGTCGTAGGGTCTTAGAACACACGGTATATTAACTTCGTCTGAAGTTCTAAATTAAAACTCCATTCTTCTGAACGGAAGATGACATCTGTTTTATTTTATACTGAAATCATATATGTCGAGAGGCAAAAACAAGCATCATAAGACATACAAATATATGTTACACTTTTAAAATCTCGGTTGTTTACACAGCAACCGTTTCGATTAAGACAAGTATCAGAGTAAAAGTGTTCCATCGAACTTATGCTTCTTCCTAAGCTTACTTTTTATTCCTTGTTTCGTGTTTCATCCTTATTTTTGGCTTTAAAACACATATTCGTCTTGCACAAAATAATAAAAGGCGCCAACTTCCGTTCAGAAGAATGATTGCTTGAATCTAAGCCTTCACTGAAAATTATTACTTCTGATTTTTTGGGGCGTGACCATCCAAGCATCATAATGAATCTCTCTTGTTTCCATTTGATACTTAATATCATCCTTCTTATATTGTCTAGGTCTTCCGTACTTCTTGACCAATTTGCTTCAAATGGTAGATGGAATAAAAAATGCATTTCATCTCTTGCCAAGAGAAATTATCAGAAATAGTGTTCTTTAACCTTTCTCTCTGAGACTGTAATAGAACCGATAGCTCATAGACAGGCTTTGTAGGGCTACTCGGCGAATGTTCAAGCGTACACGAATGGTACTCACGTCTAATGTGGGGACACAGGAGTACATACAGTAATCTACGCGCACTTTGCCAAGGCATGTGATCACGTGACGATACTTGAAGATTAGATTATGAAGTGAACCTTCACCCCGTCTTCGTCTCTGCAATTTACAGCATTACTTGCTCTCCGTTTTAGGACCATTAATCGCTCACTGAGGCTAGTATTTGAACTTAGTGATCTCCAGTAAACCATTGAACTACCATGATTGATTGTAGGTGCTCCAGCAAACAGTCATTTCATTAAACACTTTCTTAGCACCGCTCACAGGATTCATTTGTCAAATCGATAACTGCGGTGATTATCACGGAAAGAAGCGAAACAAGCTTAAGCATTTTATAATGATTGGTATATGATTAGGCATACCGCGATCACACTGCGAAATTTCGAACAATGTTATGAAGTACTGAAAGGCTCAGACTTGATCAAAATGCAAGTAAAGATTATTGCCCTTCTTCTTCTGTCGTATGGCTGGAGGAAATGACTAACAACCTTATAGTTAATGTCAAGATTTCTAAGCCTGTGAATGGCCGCCGCGTTGGCATTGTGGGCATCAGCTATGCTGCCGTCGAACTTTCGCAGCGGGTATCCAGAAATAATGTGCTGCATCGTGTGATTATCATGACTACAGTCACCCTGCGGACTGGGCTTCATCTTCCAGCGATGGAGTAGTTGTCCACAGCGTTCATGTCCTGTTCGAACCCTGTTGAATCTCGATTATTCTAGGCGATTCAAGTCCATGTCAGGGGGTTCTGTGGTCGGACTGGAGATTAGGTCTTTGTTATGGACAGCTGTAGCGTCCACTCAGCTCGCCACCGTTCCTCGAGACTCAGGCGCGACTCCTTTTGCTCGTTCCCATAGCGGGTGTCGTGATTATTGCCCTCAAAGCGCGTTACTCGCAATGCTCATGGATGGTCATTAAGCATACCCTATCCTGAAGTCGTCAATTGAAAATCAACCACGATTCCGTTTGGGAAAAGTTCAAAGAGCCAATTGTATATCAGAATCATAATTTTTAATTTGTGGTTCTCACATTATGCTGAGTGCTGGTCAGCACTCAAGAGGGTCAAAGCAAATTGTAAATATAAAGTCAGACAGAATTGTCACCTGTCGTGCACTCACTGGTACGATTACACCAGAGCAGCATGTCCCAGCCCATTGCTTGCAGCGCAATGATTGATTACTCGTTTCTCTATTGATGAGGCCAAAGCACAATGGGGTGAATTCCTTGATAAAGAATTATTAATTGTAATGATATAATTTTATGCACGTTGGAACACAACTCGACATCTCTAAAGCGATAAACAACATTACAACCCAATGAATCACTCTCCTGTCCAAACGGACATGTGTCGAAAACCGCGGTCTGAAAAAACACAAAAATTTCTAATACCGACGAATCTCCAGATTTGGTTTGACTGTTGAAAAGAGAGTTTTCAAATCATTCCTCTCGGTATACTATAGAAAATAAATATTGATCGCAGAGGTGCTGTGGGAGAACACAAAACAAACAAATCAGGTTCCTCAGCAACAGGTAGCGCAGTTTCATCCCGACTGCCACTAGTACTGAACTTCTCCCTCGCCACTGCCGTAGTCCGCAATGGCAGAACGTAGATATCCCTAAGTATAGTACTCTCATGGCAGTTTTAAGCGTTCATGAGGATTTGCTTGGTCAGCCTCTCGTAAGTTACCAAGTAACAGATCACGGAACTGTTGACCGAAATGGCTTCCTCCTCGAACAGATCCACTGATTATGTAACGGTTAAACCATTGTCAGAGGTCCGAGTTCGTCGGGCAGGATTTTTAATGCTGATAACGCATTATTGAAAACCATGCGTCATTAGAGGAATATGTTCTTTACTGTAATAATCGGAATTGCTTCAAATAAATCGTAGACACCATGATTAATCTCAACTGAAAGGTCACAGCTGCAATGGTTTGGGCACGTCTCGCGAATTGTTTCAGAAAGAAAGTCGACAGCTGCTATTTGCCAAGTCTATCGGCCAAAGATCCCGGAGATGGGACTAGTGCATAGAAGGACTCTGCTTCAGACTGTGGTTTTCCTCTCTCGAGGTTCAAACTCTGGCATAAGATCGGAAACGTTTAAGATAATGCCTGACGTGACTGCCTTAGCGACCCGACAAAACTAGTGATCATTGAAACTGACTGACTGGTGTTAAAAATTTGCTTAGAATTGAGATTGAGGATTTAAACGACAATTGAGGATTGAAAAACGGCATAAAACGGTTTATTTATACAGAACCCAAAAAAATATAATGAAGTGAGTGATTTATCAGTACCGACCTTTTGGTTCGTGCTTTCAGACCTTCTTCGAGGCAAAGAGGTTGGTTGACTGAGTTCTAGAGTAATTACGCTGTTCTCAGAGGCTGTAGGTGTGGAGCCAGCAGATTTCTTGTTTGGCATCTTCATGACTAGCTTTATGGCTGCTCACGCACCGTGCTTTCCTTAAAACTATGACACTTTTAACTGATGGCGCCATCAGGGAGAGGAGCGCCGCACCGCGAAAAAAACGCAAGGTACGAATCGTGATGTGTGAGTAACTGATTTTACAGTAACCAGAAACCTACCCTGGTTTTATTCCCACTTCCACCGTTGATGCTTCAACACAGAAACATCAAAAAATGCTATTTAATGCTAGTGGTCAGAGTACCACGGATGAGGAACTTGATTCACGTTTAGTTCCATTTTTACGGGAGTCAGTCCAGGACCTGCTCGTGCGCTCGCCTGTCCGTTTTTTTTCACTTTATAAATCAGTGCTGCAGGTCAGTTATTACTTGTTTAGCTACCTTGTCCAGCCAGTGGAAAATGTAAATATTGACACTGTCATGTTACGTTCTTCGTCTATCAGCAAACCAATGATTGCAA